TGAGTAATTTGCTTTTGAGAAGTAAATAGAACCTTGCCTGTAGAGAGCCCAGGGGTGTGGCCAGTAGATCTTTTCCCAGGCTCCTCCCTCCCCACCCCCCAAATGACCTTAACCTTCTTTCATAGCTGGAGAGCATCCAAGTCTGGCCTAAACAATACTCTCAACCTCATTGGCTCTTTTGCTTTGCAGTCAGTGCCACCCCTAAGTGGCTAAGGCCCTTCCCGCTAGGCCGCTCAGTGGGGTCAAGGTTTTCTAACTACAGAAAGGCAAACACCAAAGAAAGAGTGAAAAAATAACCTACCGTCCACGGCCTTTATAGGATCAGTGTTTGGGTTCTACGGTTGGGAGGTAGGGCAGGGCCTTAGTCCTGGAGTGGATGGGCATCTTCAAGAGAGAAAGCAGAAAACCAAAATGTGTGCTTTGGGCCACCCCAGGTTCCAGAATGGATGTAAATGTCACCTAGCATTCTTCGAAACTGCCAATTAATGCCTTTTATCCATAGTGAAAGGAAGTAGCATCAAGTTCTGGTAAGGTACAGCTGCTTGCCATCAGTCATTAGCACTGCCTACTAACAGTTGGCAATGACAGGTATCAGAGGCCTGTGTGGTCACTTGTGTCCCATAATGCCATGACCTCAAGGCCAATGTCCCAGAACAAAGCTTCTCCAATATTCAAATAGGACTGGGGTCATGGAAAGTTTAGTGTCTGGAAACTGAGCTAATACTCAGCACTGTTTCTCTGCCCAGCCTGAGGCCAAGGTGACCTCCAGATGTGGCCAGAGGAAGGCAGAGAAATGAGTGGTCCGGCTGCTTCAGGAAGGGGAGTGCTCCAGAGAGCTTCCTCCACACTTTCAGCAGAAAAGTCACTTCTCTCTTCATTCAGGAGGGTCTAACAGCCCATCCCTCCTGAGCACTTTACGCCACGCACTATGAAATCCGTGAGGGAGATAATATTTCCATGAGGACGAGAACTGTGTCTGCCTTGCTCAATGTTCACCCTCATACCCCTTCACAGAGTAGGCACTCCCATTTTGTTGAATAAATCAAACAGGTTAGCCGAAACTGGTTTGGTTCAGTGGATAGAGCATTGGTCTGCAGACTGAAAGGTCCCAGGTTCGATTCCTGGAACCCAGGAAACCAATCAAGGGCATGTATCTTGGTTGTAGGCACATCCCCGATGGGGGGTGTGCAGGAGGCAGCTGGTCAATGTTTCTCTCTCATCAATGTTTCTAGCTCTCTATCCTTATCCCTCCTATTAATAATAATAATAATAATAATAATAAAATATATATATTTTTTAAATCAAATAGGTAAGAGAGGAATTTAGTGGAGGAAAGAGTAATTAGGAGTTGGTGAGCCTTATGTGGTATTCTTGGTATATCCCATACAGCCTTAGTCAAGTGGAAAAAAAGAAGAAAGGGAAAGAGGTAAACCTGAGAAAAATTTAAATAGTATAGAATAGAAAAAAACAACCACCTAGGAAGCTAGAAACCGAATTTTAAGTCCCACCTCTGCCACTAGCTGTGTAACTTCAGGCCAGTCACTTCCCCTGAGTCTTTGTTTCTGCATCCAATAAACTATAGGTTAAACTATCAGGTTAAACAAATGGATTTGTTCACCATAACTTTATTGAGCACATACAATGTGCAAAGAAAGTACTACTCTAAGTGCTGCTAATACTTTGAACAAGGCCCCCACTCTCACAAAGCTTACTTTCCATAACAGGAAAACAGATGCTGAGTAAAATTCATGTACAGGACCATCAAGTGGTGATAAGTACTATAAAGAATATAGAACACACCCTAGCTGGTTGGGCTCAGTGGTTAGAGTGCCAGCCTGCAGTCTAAAGGGTTGTGGGGTTGATTTCCAGCAAGAGCACGTATCTCGGTTGCGGATTCTGGGGTACATGGGGGAGGCAATTATCGATAATTGATGCGCTTCTCTCACATCTCTCTCCCTCCCACTCTCTCTAAAAACCAATAGGAAAAAATATCCTCAGGTAAAGAAGGTTAACAAACAAAACAAGAAAACAGAACCGGGCTGTGATTGTGGCTGGACAGTCGAGGGAAGGCCTCTGAGGAGATGACATTCGCTGACATCTGGATGCAGTGGGTTTGCCGAAAGGCAGTCTGGTGGGGAAGGGTTCAGGCAGAGGAAATGGCCTGAGCAGAGCCAGGCAAGTTAAAAAACCAGAAATGTCACTTCCATTCCAGGATTCTAGAAACAGAGATGTATTGTTTAGGTGAGGGATGTGTGTTATGAAGTTGTTTCTTGGTGGTGTACAATCTCTGCTGCTTCATGGAAGCGGCTGGGTGGTGTAGTCATTCTGAGCCCTGGGATCCCTCTCTGTCTCCCTGGCTCTCCCACAGTGCTGCTCACTCAGCTGGTTCAGTGCAGATGCAGCCACCATTTTAGCTGCCGACTCTAAAGCAGACAAGGTAGAGTTGCCTCTTCCACTACTTACTCACAGCCTTTGGAGGCTGAGAACCCCCTCCCATCCCACCCAGTCTTCTGTTCTGACAAGCAGGGGCTTTGAGAGCATGAGATTCAGCTTCCTTGTTTTCCTGTCGGAGCAGGAGCCAGAAAATGAAACAGGAAATAGAGCAGAAGAGGAGGGGGGTGGGTAGCAAAGAAGGGAAAGAAGGAGAAATCGCAGGGAAGTAGAACAGAAGATCTGGACAAAGTTCTATCTCTGAAGGGTGACAGATGAGTTTTTAGTTAACATTTTTACAGTCTGCAGTAAAAGAGACTCGTGCCCTTTTTTTAGAAAACAAAACAAAACATTTTTATTGATTTCAGAGAAGGGAGCAGGAAAGAAACAGAAACATCAATGATGGAAGAGAATCGTCGATGGGCTGCCTCCTGCACACCCCCTACTGGGGATAAGGCCTGCAACCCAGACATGTGCCCTGACGGGGGAATTAAACCTTGACCTTCTGGTTCTTAGGCTGACATCAGCCACTGAGCCACACTGGTCAGACCAAGGTTTTATTTTATTTTTACTTCTCCTTGCTCTTATGAGCATTTGTAGCGTCAGGGGATCCAGAGAGGTTGAGTGACAGGCCTGGGGTCCCACAGCCATTTCAAAGCAGAGCTGGGGCTGGGCTCCTTGACTTGGGGACTCTGTCTTTCACCCAAGACTCTGCCTCCAGCTCTTCCCTGTCCTGTCCTCCGTTGGGAGGAGGTGGATCCCCTGAAGTGCCCTGACCTGAATCAAACTGTGACCTGGTCAACCACGGAGCCACACAGGCCAGGGGAAACCACTGTCCTTTTCACAAGTAGATTTTTGAGGGAATTCAACGTGGGCAGAGGGAAACTTTGAATGCATTTCTTTTCCCCATGTGAATTCACAAAGCAAGGGCAGTTCGTTTCTGTTTTGTCTTTGCAAGCAGAGTGCTGCTTGGAGCCCCACAGGCTTCTGGAGTCTCCAGCCATAACCAAGTCACAAAGTTTCCGGAGCTGAGAACCAGTGTCTGCCACTAAAAAGTCTTCTCAACTCCATGTCCCCTTCTCCTCTAACGAAATGGGGTTTATATTTTATCCACCTTACACACAACAAATACCTAGAAGGGTTAGTTGAGGTCTCGGGGCCTGAAATGACTTACAAAGAACCAAGAGATGCAGTCCCTGGCCAGCACAGCCCGGATCTGGGCTAGTCTGCCTGAGAGCCGGCAACCATGGCCTTTGTTCGCAGCCACAGGAGAGGCTGGGGCTGCAGATAAACCCCTCCCTCGCCGGGGCTGCGGCCAGAGGCTCACCCGGCCCGGCTGCCTTCCGAGGGCTGATAACTGAAACCGCAGAGGCTTTGGGATCCTGAGAAACGAGAAATCGACCAACGGAGAAGGATTTATTATCTGCTTCCTTTAAGCAGGGCGCTAAGTTGTTCTAACAGTTTCCGTTACAGGGGTGCCCGCCGGCCGCTCCTCCCCAACAGACGGTTGTGTCGAGTCGGCTTTTTTTCTTCTCCTTTTTTGGCCCCACTTCCTATGAGAGCAACTGCTTGAATGAGGAAGAAGGGAGTCCTGGGGGAGGGCGTGGGGGAGGGGGGCTGTTCTCTGAAGTTCCCTTCTCCGTCCTCGCCAGCCGCCTGAGGTGGGGCCTGGACAGAACAGAAGGTCCCTGTAGCTGGAGGAGTTGAAAGTCGAGGGGATCCCCCACTTTCTTCACACCCAAGACGCAGGGGGCCGCCCCTGGCCACAGAAACCCCGAGAAGGCGTTTCTCTCCATTCGGAGAACATGTACTGGGCGCCGGGCCCCGGGCTGAGCGGTTGCCGCCACACGGCAGGGAAAGTGCTGCTCGGGCTTCGGTGAAGAGAGGCCGCGGGGCAGCCCCGACTCCGGAGCCTCGCGCACCCCGGAGGCTCAGTGATGTGATGTCTGCGGGTGGCGCTGGGGCGAGAACCCGCCCCCGAGACGGCTGCCCCGGGGGCCGAGTGAAGGCGGGGGAGGGGGCCGAGGACGGGGCAGTGCGGCGGGAAGCCTCCAGGTGTCACCGGGGCGGGAAGGTGCGAGACCGAGGGCTCGGAGCGGCGGGGCTCGGCGTCCCCGCCCCGCAGGCCCGGAGTCATCATGGCCGCCGCGGAGGGGGCGGGGCAGCGCCGGGCGGGGCCGCCGCCGCGGAGCCAGTGCGCAGGCGCGGCCGCTGGGGCCCCGGATGGAGGCGCGGAGGTGCGGACCCCGTCTGGGAGGTCGAGGCGGGCTGACGCCGGGGACTCGGCGCCGGCGTGGGAGCCCGAGAGTTCTTGGGGGAGGGAAGTTGTGAAACGGGGGGTGGAGGGAAGCGAGGCGGAGGCCGCCGAGAAGCGGGAGCCCCGCCCCTCCGCCATAGCGGCCTCGGGGCGCCGCCTCTTCCTCTCCAGTCTCCCGCCCTCCCCTACCTTCCGGCCCCGCGGCCCGGCCCGCCGCCCCCTCGGAAACACCCCTTCGCCCTTTGGGGAGAGGAGATCCCCGGGGCCAGCGGGGGGCTGTGTCTGAGAGAAGCGGGCTAGCCGCGGCTCGCGACGGCCAGCGAGGCCCCGGGCCTGGAGGACCCCCGTGACAGCCATTCCCCACCCACACAGGATGGCGTCTCCCCCAGAGCCAAGGTTCCAGTGCAGCGGCTCCCTGTTTCCTCAGGCCTCCCTCGCTCAGCTCACCCGGCGGGAGCTCGCGCCGTCCTCGGACAGACCGGGCGGGGCTGGGGAGACCTGGGCTGAAATCCTGTCCTAGGAAGAGCGCGTCCCCTCTGGCCCGTGTGAGGCCTGCTAGGAGGACCATGAGGTTTCAGAGTGTAAGAATGAAAGAAAAGGACGTTCTCTTTAAATACAGACTTTAGTGTGCCGCTTGCCCCCAGTGAGCCTCAGTTTCCACATCTATAAAAATGGCGACGGTAATTACACTGGCCTCACAGGGTTTAATGAGATCTCTGATGTAGAAACCGGGGAGGTTTTTATTACTCACCTCGGGGGCATATGTATCTCATGGGAAAATGGGAGCAAAACGAGTAGCTCTCTGTCCGGACAGCTCAGAGAGAGTGACTTGGCGAAGGGTTTGCTGGGAAGGGAGGGTGGCAATTAGCTGAGAGGGAGCACTCACTGGCTTTGTTTTGTTTTCACTTGGTTTGCCTGGAAATTAGGGCTGCAAGTCTCCCGTGGTCGCTGGGGCTAGAGCTTGACTCGAGAGAGGAAGGAAGAATGGCGGCCTGGTGAAGAGGCAGAGGTGGGTTAAGTGCTTTTCTGTTCCTAACTTCTCTTCTGCATGTGGGTGGGAACGGAAGAAGGGCAAAAAGTGAATTCAGGCAAGGGTAGAGAACCAGTGGACCGTGTGAGGTTTGATGGTGCCTGTTTCTGCGATTTCTCTCGATTCAGCGAGTCAGATGTTGGAAATGTTGGATAGAGTCACAAACTGCCTCTTTGGGGTTTTCCGAAGCTTGCCTTTGAACTGAATTTTGATGAGCAAACCGGTGTGGTGTTGGTGGCCCCTCCCTTCCTCTTGGCTTCCTGGTAAAGGAGTAAGCAGTAGGCGCCCCCTTGTGCCGAGGATAGGTACTGTTGCTATTGGCCAATCTTGCTTCCATTATGGAGACATTTTATTTTTCTACTAGAGGCCCAGTGCACGAAATTTGTGCGTGAGGGGTGGCCCTCAGTCTGGGAGCCCTCTGGGGATGACCCACTGAGGAGAGTGGGCCTAAGATGGCAGTCAGACTTCCTTAGTGCTGCCGTGGAGGCGGGAGAGGCTTCCTGCATTGAGCCTCTTCCCTCTGGTGGTTAGTGTGCATCATACTGGCCAGTCTTTCCACTGTTCGGTCGATTTGCATATTATCCTTTTATTATATAGAACTAGAGACCTGTGGGGTCCCTCAGCCTGGCCTGTACCCTCTCACAATCTGGGACCCCTCTGCAGATATCAGACTGCCAGTTTCTGCCTGATCCCAGCAGGCCAGTCTGAAGGACCACCCGAGCACGAATCTGCACCGGGCCGCTAGTATCCATATAAGATCTTTGGTTAATCTCTTCCCACCCTCTCGGCTCCTCCCTTCCCTCTGAGATTCATCAGTCTGTTCCACGTTTCCATGCCTGTGCGTTGAGTGTCTGCCCACTATGGTCAGTGTGTGTCATAGCTACTGGTCCAGTGGTCACTTAGGCTATTAGATATGTAGACAGCTTCTCATGACTTTGTAGTCTTGCTCTTAACACGAGTATGGTGAGAGGAATACTTGGAGCAGTGATTTTTATACCCAGAGTCAATGAACTGGTAATGACACATCCTGTGCTTGCCACTTACACTTAATCGGAACACAGGCTTAAAATAGTCTATTTGTATGCTAGGCCCTGAGGATATAGTTGTGAACCCTTAAGGTAGACACCCCCTACCCTCCCAAGCAACTTATTTAAGCAAGAGCACTAAGACCACATGTCAGAGTACAATGAAAGCATATCACATAGTCTGATGAATTCCAGACAAGGGATACCTGAAGGCTTGGTAGGTATTAGCCATATAAGAGAAGAAAGAAAAATATTCCAGTCCTCCCTGTTAGTTTTTCAATTTAAATTTTTTTTTTTTTTTTTTTTTTTAGGGATAGAACCCTAGCATACGTCAGGAACTCAGTGGATGTTTGTGGGGTGGAACTGGGGCAAGAACACCAAATCAGGGACTTGTATCTGATATTCTTGCCCTTCTTTCTGATTTCCCAGACTTGTTCTGTGAGAGCCATTGCTACTTCTTTTAGCCCAAGAGACTGTGTGGTGTATTATTTTTTTAATAATAAAAATCCTTGAAGTGCATTCCTTGCCTCAAAATGGCTTTGCAGCTGTTTATATGTTGCTGCCATTCCGACAAAGAAAGGCGAAATACGTTTCCTCTGTCTCTAGTAGTCAGCTCTGTCTTCCCCCTGAGTTTGTGTTAGCAATGTAAGCTGGTTTAAGTCCTCCCGAGTGGCGGTTTTCTTTTCCTTCTCCACTTACTTTAACAGACCAGCTGAACACACATCAGAGAGCTGAGCTGAAGTGTGTAGTCATTATGGTCTTCCAGTGCAGTTCTAGGCCCCATTTTTGGGACTCTGGTTTGGGCCCTCGTTTATTATTCTGGGCAAGAGGCAAAGGGCACACACCAAATAGCACCAACCACAAGACAACGAAGTAGTCCTTCTTCACACTTGAGTCCATTTCACCATCATGACAGTTTTGTGAGATGGGCAAAATAATCTGGTCTCATTGTTTACATAAAGAACCGAGGTTCAGAAGGACTAAATGAGAATTTGTGAGTGACAGAGCCCGGACCTGAACTTAGGTCCTGCATATTGTGTGGGGAAGGGAGGCATGCAACAAAGCTTTATTTTTTATTATTGTTTTTTAAATATATTTTATTGATTTATTTTATTTTATTTATTTTATTATTTTTTTTATTTTTTTTACAGAGAGGAAGGGAGAGAGATAGAGAGTTAGAAACATCAATGAGAGCGAGACATCGATCAGCTGCCCCCTGCACATCCCCCCACTGGGGATGTGCCTGCAACCAAGGTACATGCCCCTGACTGGAATCAAACCTGGGACCTTTCAGTCCTCAGTACGATGCTCTATCCATTGAGCCAAACCGGTCTCGGCACAACAAGCTTTTTAAAGATTTGCTGCGAGCCCTAGCTTTTTTGGCTCACTGGTTAAAATGTTGGCCCCGGGAGACTGAAGAGTCCCCGATTCCTTTCCTGTCAAAGGACGGGAATGAGTGCAAGGCAACCAACCGATGTGTCTCAGTCTCTTCCCCTCCTTTCCATTCTCTCTCTAAAAAGAAGAAAGAAATCAATGGTAAAACCATGCTTGGGTGAGGATTAATAACAAACAAACAAAAAGATTTGCTGTGAATTTAGATTTCAGATTTCATGCCTATGAGTGGAATTTTCCCAACAAGAATTCAGTGTTTCAGAATGACGTCTGCCTTCACGAGGCTTTTCCCTCATTTGGGAAGTTAAGTGGTCAAATTTGACTAGTAATGCTGAAGGGGGTAGTCTTCTGTGGAGAACGCTTTTAAGAATTTACTTTCAGCCCACGTGACATTTCCTTCTTGGGTTTTGGAGTTTAGAAGCCTAAGGGAGCTCAGTCCTGGATTCCTGTGGTGAGAGGATGTGGCCCCTGGACCCGTCCCGGAGAGAGGTGCTGAGGTTTGCGGTCAGCTGCCGGGTCCTGACTCTGGTGCTGCAGGTCAGTCTCTGATCTTTTGTGCTGAACATGCCGTTGCCACGTGACTGGGCCAGACACTAAGAATAGTCCCCATCTTTCCACCTCTGAGGTGTGCCCCTCCAGGTGGCGGAACCATAGACACTGAGACTTCATGGCTGGAAAATGGGCAAGACTTTTAGAAATGGTCTTGAATCCCTTGTCTTACTCATGAACAGCAGAGGCCCAGAAAGTTTAAAGAGCTTCCCTAAAGTCATACACGTTAGAGAAGGGCTAGAATCAGAACCCAGGTTTTCTAGCTCCTTCCAGCAGGCCATGATGTTCTGTACCCAGAGGTGACAGGGTGTGACAACTCAAAGCATTGGCCTGGATCCCCTGAGCAGGAGACTGAGCACTGTGTCAGTCAGTTGAATGGGAAAGAGGTGGAATGTCCTGAGACCATCTGTGTGTATTCGTTTAGTCAGTAGTGTCTCCTGCTCTTTGTCTCCCCTTGCTGTCTCACCCACACACAGCCCTCAGAATGCATTCACTTTGGCAAAACTCCCTTCCCCCTCCAAGGCTGTCCTTATACATATTTTAATTGCTTTTCATATATGTATGCGTTAAATGCAGTGCCTAGCACAATGCCCAATGTTTAATAGGTCCTTAGTATGTGTTGGTAAATGTAGTCAACATCTTAGGTATGTTGTTATATGAGCATAATTATTGTATGTGTATCTTTTATCACAAGTTTCATTCTCTCTGAGGTTCAGCGAGTTCCTTTGTGGAAATCCCCTTTTCTCTTTTCTCCCTTACTATAGGAGGCACAGTAGGCTCTGCTGGCTTCCAAGTTTAGTTAAAAGTCTTGCCAGAACCAGTTTGGCTCAGTGGATAGAGCGTCGGCCTGCGGACTGAAAGGTCCCGGGTTCGAGTCCAGTCAAGGACATGTACCTTGGTTTTGGGCACATCCCCAATGGGGGGTGGGGGGTGCAAGAAACAGATGATTCTCTCTCATCGATGTTTCTAGCTCTCTCTCCCTCTCTCTTCCGCTCTGTAAAAAAAAATCAATAAAATATATTTTAAAAAAGAATATATTAAAAAAAAAAAAAAAAAGTGTCTTCAACATGGAGACTCGGGCTGTTTTCACTATTAGAAATGGCCTGATTACCAAAAAAACTGACCAAAACAAGAAAGAGCCTTAAAAGTGGGGTTGTACTCCTGGTGCCAGGCTGGAGAAACTGACTCAGTGATAGCTTGGAACCAGTATTAGCTGAGTGATTGGCAGAACCAAAGGAGCAATACTGTGAATTGGCATCTGGGATAGGAAACCAGTACAGCTGGGTTCTAATTCAGTTGATTTGGAATCAAGGATGTTTTGTAAACTGTTCGCTCAATCACCAAAAGTTTATTTAGTACCTACTCTGTTCCACGAACTGCGCTAGGTGGCGAGTATAAAAGTAATGGTGTCTTTTCCCTAAGTAACTGACAATCTAATTGGGCAAAAAGATATTTAACAATATGCTATTTTGTTCTTTCTCCCACTGCCAACCCTTCTAGTTTTAAAGGTAATGCCATCAGAATATATTGCCAATTACCCTTCATTGTTGCTGTCATCTGTGGTTTTTTTAAAAAATATGTTTTTATTGATTTCGGAGAGGCAGGGAGAGGGAGAGATAGAAACATCAATAATGAGAGAGAATCATTGACCGGCTGCCTCCTGCACACCCCCCACTGGGGATTGAGCCCACAACCCAGGCATGTGCCATTGACCGAATCGAAACCAGGATCCTTCAGTTTGCAGGCAGACGCTCTATCCACTGCCCCAAACTGAGTATGGCTGTCATCTGTGTTAATGACAGCTCATTCCTCATTCCTTGAAGGTTTTCGCTTCTGATTCAGTTTCTCTTTCCAACACAACTATTGATTTCTTGATGGTTTGAATATTAATAAGACTAATACACCTGACCATTATCTCCTATCATTTCAGCTCACTTTCTGTAGTATCCCAGCTCTAATGATTCTTCTAACCCCTCAGGATTTATAATCCATTGATCCTACCACTTTTCATTGACTCTCACCCATCTCAAGGATTCAGCTCCACTTTTTACCTGGCTTGGATCACATGTTTCATCATGCATAGCCACACAACTCACTAACTCCGTACTCTGTATGTCCAACCTTGGTTAAATTCAGTTCTCTGTCATACCATGCTTGCATCTGCACAGAGTAAAACACACAACTGTAGTAACTAGTTTCCTTTTATTCAAGATCATTAATCCAATTGAGTCCTTAATGCTACCTGTCAATGTTAGTGTATTTCTCTTGTCCATCCACTGCACCCCTATAATCTTCCTTTCCCTTCTCCTTCCCCCACATTGTCATTCTCCTACTACCCCATTTCTCTGCTCGCCTTTACAGGAAATCTCCTCCAAATAATTGTCTTATGCACTATCTCCCTTCTTCCCTTCGCTGTTGAACCCAGTCTAGGCATTCTTCTCTCTCCTCCACCCCACTGAAATAGCTCTTGTCAAAGTCACCATTGACCTTCACATTGCTAAATCTACTGGTCAGTTTTCAGTTCCCATCTTATTTGATTTATTGACAGCATTTAACAAAGCTGATCACTCCCTTGCTTCACTTAGATCTAAGACACCATACTCTCCTATTTCCCCCCTACCTCACTGACTGTTTATTCTTTCTTGTGTGTGATTTTAAAAGCACATTTATTAGAGCTGGGGACAGTTAAACAAGGAAGAGCTTAGAATAGAAGAAGCAACTTTTCTATCCTAGGTAGGGCTGCTTAGCTCTCTAGACATGCTATAGAAAAGAAATGAGTCTAGGCGGAACTGCTTTGGCTCACTGAGAAATCAGAGAAAAGGGGAAATTGGAAACAATGAGGGTGAGTCCAGGACGAGCTGCCCGCTGCCCACGGTTCCCCTGGTTGCAAGTCTCCTGCGGTCCCTTAGAGTTTAGGAGATCCATGCCGGAAAGGGAAGAAGAAGGGAAAGGAAGAGTGTAGGGGTGCTCTCGGGAGGAGGAGTGTGCCTGACTGTTCTTTATCTTCACTGTTGGATCCTCACCCCCTTTCAAGTCACTAAATGTTGATGTGACCAGGGACCAGTCTTTGGAGCTCTATCTGTATGTCCTAGTGCTCGCATTCAGCCCCATACATTTAAATACTGCCCATTACTTATGACTCCCAAATTTATATCTCTAGCCCTGATCATTCTTCTGACCTTCAGACTCATATATCTCACTGCCTCATTGACCTCTGCACTGGAATGTCCAACTCAGATTTAACCAGTCCAAAACTGACTGATTCCCCCCAAACAAATCTGTTCTTAATTTTATTAAATAGTAATTATTTTCGTCTAGTTGTTCAACCAAACTCCTGGTTCTTCTTCATCCCACAGGCTCTCTTCAATGCCTTCATCCCAGATCACCGTGCAGAAGCCTTCTCTCCTCCTCGCCTTGCTCCCTCAGGCTCTGCAGACCAACTCATGGAAGGTCTTCTGGGCGGCCTGTCTCGCTGGGATGCTGAGCACTTTCTGTTCATTGCTGAGCATGGCTACCTGTATGAGCACAACTTTGCCTTCTTCCCTGGTTTCCCCCTGACCCTATTGGTGGGGACTGAATTGCTGAGACCCCTGCGGGGGTTACTGAGCCTGCGGAGTTGCCTGTTAATCTCGGTAGCATTGCTCAATTCCTTGTTCTCCATCCTGGCTGCGGTTGCCCTTCACGACCTGGGCTGTCTGGTGTTGCACTGTCCCCGCCAGGCCTTTTACGCAGCACTGCTTTTCTGCCTCAGCCCTGCCAATGTCTTCCTGGCTGCCGGCTACTCAGAAGCTTTGTTTGCCCTCCTGACATTCACCGCCATGGGGCAGCTGGAAAGGGGCCGGAGCTGGACTAGCGGACTCCTCTTTGCCCTCGCTACTGGGGTACGCTCCAACGGGCTGGTGAGCATTGGCTTCCTTGTGCATTCTCAGTGCCGAGGCTTCTTCTCTTCTTTCCTGGTGCGGAATCCTCTGAGACAGCTCTTGAAGCTCATGGGCTCTGTGCTCCTGTCTGTGCTCACCCTTGGGCTTCCTTTCGCCCTCTTTCAGTATTATGCCTACACCCAGTTCTGTCTGCCAGGCTCAGCCCACTCCATTCCTGAGCCCTTGCTGCAGTTAGCTGTGGACAAGGGCTACCGGATTGCAGAGGGAAACGAACCTCGCTGGTGCTCCTGGGAACTTCCTCTGATATACAGCTATATTCAGGATGTCTACTGGAATGTTGGCTTTCTGAGATACTATGAGCTTAAGCAGGTGCCCAATTTCCTGCTGGCTGCACCAGTGGCTATCCTGGTTACCTGGGCAACGTGGACATATGTGACCACCCACCCTTGGCTCTGCCTTACACTTGGGATGCGAAGGAGCAAGAGCGATGAGACTCTGGAGAAGCCGGATCCCGGATTCCTCAGTCCTCGGGTGTTTGTGTACCTGGTTCACGCTGCAGCGCTGCTGCTGTTTGGCAGTCTGTGCATGCACGTTCAGGTGAGTGGACTCCTGGCTGGGAAAGGATGTGAATTCAGACAGAATCCCTGGGCCAGGAACCGGGAAGACAGCTAACTTCTCCCATCTGAGTGAACCGTACCTGGTTTGTTTATTCACCAACTATGTGAGGGCTTTGTTTGTGTTAGACCCTGTCAGACCACTGAAGATGGAACATGAATAAGATAAGATTGCTGTTCTAATGCGTCTTGTGTTATAAATGGGAGACAGACATTGAACAGGTAAAATTATAGGGCAGTGGATGGGAGAGAATTTGCTGTTTTGAGATAAAGTATTGTGGGAAGCACAGAGGAAATAAGTAGCTGACTGAAGGAGGGTGTCATAGTTAGGCCAGGTTGTAAAGAATAAGAAGAAATTCCATTTAAGAAGCAAAGAAAGAATATTCTGGGCAAATGAAGGGTGTGTGCAAAGATATGAGAGTTGTAAGAGGACCTGATTTGACTGAGATAGAAGAATGGGCACAAGGAATACATCTGGGACCTTCCCCTGATACACAGTTATACCCGGAATGTCAGCTTGAGAGTTGGCTCTCAGGTACTCAGTGGGTGCTCAGTTTTCAGAGGAGACATCTTGTGCAATCAGTGTTCAGGGTGGTAGTGTAATATAAAGGGATGGGAAAGGTTTGATCATTAATCCCATTTCTTTTTTTTCTTTTCTTTTTTTTAATCCTCACTCGATATTTTTTCATTGATTTTTAGAGAGTGGAAGAAAGGGAGAGACAGAGAGAAACATCGATGTGAGAGAGACACATCTTTTGGTTGCCTCCTGCATGTACGCCCCCCAGGGCTGGGGGACCTGCAGCCACGGTACGTGCCCTTGACTGGGATTGAGCCCAGGACGCTTCAGTCTGTGGGCCGACACTCCATCTACTGAGCCAAAATGGTTAAGGCAATTTCATCTTTTTTGTTTCTGGCTGTGGCTCCAGTTTCAACTTAACTCTGAGGAAGTCTTCTTGTCTCCATGCTGGCCTCTCCTTAGCAGTTTCTGCCTCTTGGAGGCACACTTTGGCCGTTTGTAAAGTTCTCTGAACTGTGTGAATAAGAGGCAGAGGGGAAACAGAAAATAGCATTTTCTGTGTTTGTAGCTGGATTAGCTAGTAGAGGGAATGCCAGCAAACGTTAGCATTTCCAGGTAGATGAGGGAGGCCATTTGGCTCTGAACGCCCCTAAAAGGGAGAATGTTAAACCATAGTATCCTCTGCCCCCTTTCCCTCTGCTTTGTATCCCCATGGGATGAGGGAACCACCTTACATTCCAAAGCTCCACATCACAGCCTAGAGTTTAGAGACCAAGCCCTAAGTTATCATTGAACCCCTAAAAGGTGTTGTTTTTTTATTGTTTTTTTTATTTTTATTGATTAACTCATTATTTGTGGTAATTAGTTTAGCTATCTTCATTTGTAACATTGAGGTCACCTGGCTGGTATCATGCACAGCTTTATAAGGCATATCCTAAGCTATACTAAATTTTATATCCAATGTAATACATTTCTAGTCATGGGGTTATAGTTCACCCAGCAGCAGGCAAGCCCCAGGCTGGTCCAATTTCAGGCAGTGACATTCCAATAAATGTGTGGGTTTCCCCCTGTTATGATTTCCAGGTTCTCACCAGGTTTTTGGGGTCCTCCACTCCTGTCGTGTACTGGTTTCCAGCTTACTTGCTTCAGCATCAGGAGCCACTGCTGAGGTCTCTAGAGACTGTGCCTTGGAAGCCTCTTGCAGAAGACTCTCCACCAGGACACAACGTCCCCAGAAACGCTATCATTGGACTTTTGTACAACTGGAAAGCCTGTTCTCCAGTCACACGGTGCATTCTCGGCTACTTCCTGACTTACTGGCTCCTGGGACTACTTCTGCATTGCAACTTCCTGCCTTGGACATGACCTGGAGTCTCAGGGGACAGACTGGAAGCCAACTTAACCAGGAATCTGAAAGAACAAATATAAAAACACTGCCTGCACTGCCTTCGGATCCTTACTCTGTCTGTGGGCCAACACTCCGTCTACTGAGCCACTCCAACCTTCTCTATTTGAAGGTTGGTTAGGAGCGGGAACAATACGAGCCACTGGAGATCCCCTATGGTCCTGGCTTTGGGAAATTTTAGAATAGTAACTATTTTTGCTGAAAGTAAAAAAATAATATTCCAATTCTAAAGTATAAAAGTTACATTTAAAAATAATAATAATAAATAAAGTATACCTGGATTTGTCTCTTCAACCAAGAACAGCAGAAATAGTTTTAAATTTACCACTGACCCACATGTAATTTTGTTGTTGTTAATCCTCACTTAAGGATATTTTCCATTGATTTTTAAAAATATATATTTTATTGATTTTGTACAGAGAGGAAGGGAGAGAGACAGAGAGTTAGAAACATCGATGAGAGAGAAACATCGATCAGCTGCCTCTTGCACACCCCCTACTGGGGATATGCCCGCAACCAAGGTACATGCCCTTGACTGGAATCGAACCCGGGACCTTTCAGTCCCCAAGCTGACGCTCTATCCATTGAGCCATACAGGTTTCGGCTCCATTGATTTTTTTTTTTTTTTTTAATATATCTTTTTATTGATTTGGGAGAAGGAGGGATAGAAACATCAATGATGTGAGAGAATCACTGATTGGCTGCCTCCTGCATGCTCCCCCTACTGGGGATCGAGCCTAGAACCCTTCAGTATGCAGGCTGATGTCCTATCCACTGAACCAAACTGGATAGGGTTCCATTGATTTTTGTAGAGTGGAAGGGAGGGAAAGAGGAGAGAGGGAGAGAGAGAAAGATCCATGTGAAAGAAATACATTAATCAGATGTTTCCTGCATACCTGCATAAGCCCCAACCGGGGTCAGGGATCAAACCTGCACCCCAGGTGATGGAACCTGCTACCCTTTGGTGTTTGGGGAAGGGAGGAGGGAGATGGAGGACGCTCTAACAATTTAGCAAACTGGCCAGGACCCACATGTAAATTATTTAAATGTAAATTTCATCATCCCTGACTGGGTAGCTCAGGAACATCGCCCAATGCACCAAGGTTACGGGTTCCATCCCCAGTCAGAGCACATGCAAGAATGAATGAGCCTTAACTATTTGGCTCAGTGGATAGAGTGTTGGTCCGTGCACTGAAAGGTCCAAGGTTCAATTCTGGTCAAGGGCATGTACCTTGGTTGCAGGCTCAATTCCCAGTAGGGGCTGTGCAGGAGGAGGCAGCTGATCCATGTTTCTCTCTCATCCATGTTTCTATCTCTTCCTCTGTAAAAATCAACAGAATTTGCTAAGACCGGTTTGGCTCAGTGGATAGAGCGTCGGCCTGTGGACTCAAGGGTACCGGGTTCGATTCCGGTCAAAGGCATGTACCTTGGTTGTGGGCACATCCCCTGTGGGGGGTGTGCAGGAGGCAGCTGATCGATGTTTCTAACTCTATCTCTCTCCCTTCCTCTATGTAAAAAAATCAATAATATATATTTTTTTAAATCAACAGAATTTTTTAAAAAAGGATCAGCTTTATCTAATGAGTGCATAGATAGGTGAAATAACAAATCAATGTTTCTCAAAATAAATAAATATAAATTTCATCAAAAGCTCTAGCTAATAGGCTGCTGATAGTCCTCAGGTGATGGCAGAGGCCTGAACAGTGTCATGGCAGTAGTAAGTAAAGTAGAACCTTCTTTTCTAATTGGGACATTGTTTCTGATGATTTTTTTGATTCATTTATTTATATGGAAAGTCTTACAGAGATATGCAAATTAACTTTTGGTTAAAGGAGCAATCAGTTAACTTTTTTTTTTTTTTTAATATATTTTATTGATTTTTTACAGAGAGGAAGGGAGAGAGATAGAGAGCTAGAAACATCAATGAGAGAAAATCGACCAGCTGGGGATGTGCCCACAACCAATGTACATGCCCCTGACCGGAATCGAACCTGGGACCCTTCAGTCCGCAGACCGACGCTCTACCACTGAGCCAAACCGGTTTCGGCATCAATCAGTTAACTTTTAAAAAAACAATGCAAATTATTGGGGTTGTGGGGGTGGGGAGTCATAGTAAGAAAAGCATTGCACAAGGAAGCAGCAGACCTGGATTCTAGACCTCCCATATCCACTATGTGACCTTGGGAGAGTTTTCAGAGCCTTAGCATCTCTTCTGAAACTAGAGGAAATGATACCCATAGGGGAAGTTGGGGGTGGAGGGGGTGGTATTAATCTCTTATAGGTCCCTTTCTCTAAGATCTTAAGAACTGCCTTAAACAATGGAATTATCCCAATCTAAACACTTATATAGAGGCTCAAAAGTGATTTTAGGAGAAAATAGTTCTGCTTTCAGCTCTTAGAAGGAACTCTCCCCCTCTTTGGGTGCAAGAGGAGTAACTTAAGTGACCTTTTCTTAGAGGGAAAGCAGTGGTACCTGGTAAATAGGCTCCTTGTTCTGCATAGGTAAACCAGTGCCAGGCAATAAACGGCCAAAGTGGTGACTGGTTTGCCTGCCATGCCCAAGTACCTGTGCTTGCCTGATGGGTGGGCATGGGTCAGAGGAGCCAACAAGACAGCATGAGCTGATAATTTGTAGGTTGAATGAAAGGGTATCTGACGCCTCATTTGGTTATGAGCCCGTCACTCGAATGGGAGTAAGGTCATTGACCCCTGTGGAGCTATTTCTGCCCATTCTTTGAGCTAAAATAAGAGGCTCTGCATCATCACCATTCATTCCCCGTTTGAGTGAAAAATTCTAACAAGCAGAAACTTCAAAATAAATGGTTAATCATAAGCAGCTCTGGAGAGCCCTGAGAACTGGAATTCTGACACGCTCCTTTTGACCATGACAGAAAGCTAAACTTGCCAGCTGAAAGGAAGCTCCTGGCTGAGCCCCAGCACCCTCTGTTGGAGCTTCCAGTCAGCCTGGCCAATAAGCATTTCCCATCCATTACCCCAGCTTTAGCACAGCTGAGAGAATTTGGTCCAGAGTCAAATGCTTCTGAAAATGTACACACAGATTGGGGCAGCCCTCTGCCTTCTGCCAAGACACCGAGTGCCCTTCTTGGCAAAAGATCATCCCTGCCTTAGTGTCCTTCCAGTTGGCAGGAATTGTGCCCTCCCACCTCATCAACAGCTGCAAACCCAGGGACTTCCACTCTGTGCAGGAAGAACCGCGGTCCTGTTTCAGCTCTTCATTGCAGAGGTAGGAGCGCGAGGCTCTGCTCTCACGCAGTCTCTTCTTGGGGGACAATCAGGACTGAAAGAGGTGACTCAAACTCCACAGGATAGGGTGATTTCACTGCTCAGGCAACCTCAGCCTAACCTTTACACTAGATCTCATCACCCCCAGAACCAAGTGATTCCAAGGATCAGAGACCTTATAAATGGGAATCCCATCTTCTCAACTAAAACACTCTGGTGTTCAGCAAAGACCAATATGGTTACAATTGATCATTGAGGTGAAAACTAAGGACCCCAGCGAGGTGGGCACACCTGTGTGACCGGAGACCACAGTTTTCTCTATGACCTTGGAAGGATGGAGCTGCTCTTCTCTAAGGATCTAAGGGATGGGATGGTTTTATGGCCAGCAGCTGTCTCTTTACCATCCTAATAACAGCCTTTGAATAGTCTGGGAGAGGGACATGAAGGGCAGGAAGCTTCCTGTTTGCCCTGAGGTCTCACAATGCTGCAGCTGGATTGGGCGTCTACAATTTCAGAGAAAAGTAATTTCCTCCTGAGACATAGCTAAAACAGAAACCAGAGCTTCTTGTACCTTGAAATCGGTGCTTTTTTGTTCTTTAATGAAGGTGGGAGGAGAGGGAATGTTTGACATGTCTTCACCAGTCCCCCAAGGGAGGTGGAGGCTGCTTTTCTTGAACAAACTCTCACCTTCATCTAAAAATGTAATGTGTGCAGGTTCAAGGGATTGGAAACAATTCCTTCAGCAATTATTTATTCCTATTTTAGGGGAATAAAGATGACTTGCTATACCTCCTGTTCTCATGTAACTGTCTCATAGAGTTGCTAGCAGATACATAGAAACATTAATCAAGATAGAAACTGATCACCCTAGCTCATTTGGCTCAGTGGATAGAGCATGGGCCTGCAGACTGAAAGGTCCCAGGTTCACTGTAGTCAAGGGCACTTGCATGAGTTGTGGACTCGATCCCCAATAGGGGGCGTGCAGGAGGCAGCCAATCAATGATTCTCTCTCATTGAAGTTTCTATCTCTCCCTCTCCCTTCCTCTCTAAAATAAATAAAAATGTGTGTGTGTGTGTGTTTTTTAAGATTGAAACTGATCAGCCGAAGCCAGTTTGGCTCAGTGGTAGAGCGTCGGTCTGTGGATTGAAAGGTCCCAGGTTCGATCCCGGTCAAGGGCATGTACATTGGTTGCAGGCACATCCCCGGTAGGGGGTGTGCAAGAGGCAGCTGGTCGATGTTTCTCTCTCATCGACGTTTCTAGCTCTCTATCTCTCTCCCTTCCTCCCTGTAAAAAATCAATAAAATATATTAAATAAATAAATAAATAAAGATAGAAACTGATCAATTCTGGGGAATGAAATGAAGGGATACTTAAACGTCTCATTCTGTATCTCTATACTTGGACTTTTTATGAAGAGGATGAATTAAAGCTTTGCTCCCATGCTTAGGAAGAGGTCAGTGAGATACAGAGTAAGAACTTCATAAATTCACATAAGGTGGAGATCCCTTCCAGCTTGAAATACCTGAAAAGGCTTCCTAGAGAAATGGCCTTCGAGCTGGACTTTGAAGAACCAGTAGGGTCCTTCACAAAAACATTTATACTGTCCTAACCGGTTTGGCTCAGTGGATAGAGTGTCAGCCTGCAGTCTGAAAGGTCCCAGGTTCGATTCCAGTCAAGGGTATGTATCTTGGTTGTGGGCACATCCCCAGTAGGAGGTGTGCAGGAGACAGTTGATCGATGTTTCTGACTCTCTATTCCTCTCCCTCCCTCTCTGTAAAAAAATTAATAAAATGCAT